CTCCTAGACTATATTGATGAAAAAGCCAATTGCCTATGGATTTGGAAGAGAACTGACACTTTCCTTTCTTGGATGTGAAAGTACTTTGCTCAGACGGGACTCTTAAGAAAAGGCTGTGCTGAAAGAAATCGCATGCAGAAATAATCCTTGACTTTTAATCAGACTATAATTATGGACTACAGACTGGAATATTCACTACCATTAGCCGAAACTGAGTTCTGAAAAGATGAACTGAAAAAACGAACACGAATATGCCTTGGAAATGGATATCAACAAGAAACAACACAACTTGGAGATTCAGCTAGGGCAACCAGAAAAAGACGCTTGGATAAAAGACATCTATTCAACAAAAGTAAGAGTCTAGACAAGGCGATCACAGGGGAGGAATCAAAAGTAAAATCTGCTTGAGAAAGATACCGGTGTGGGTCCACCTGTGAGATATGGAATTAAAGACCCATAAGCATCTTAATTGTACACCATTAGAGATGCTAGGCTAAGGATCTAGGTCTATTTCAAATTTACTTTCGCGTGGAAACCGAGGTGGATGCACAGTATCGGTTGATCCCCAGCGTGTAAGAGTGTGTATGCACGCGCCTGTAGTGAGAGGTGGCTAATGATATGTCTGACAAGGGTAGTTATCAGCCAGCATAAACATCAACAACGGGTCTTTAAGAATAGGTAGAATTACCAACTTAAGAAACAAAGGGAGTGTACTTTACGTGATTCAGGAGTGAAGAAGGAAAGTGGTCCATCGTCATACCATCTTCATCAATCAAGCTAGACACAGGGCCACAGAGACATAGAGAGAATGGGATAGGGATGAGAAAAAGGATAACTGGGGCATGAGTCTGAAGCCTATGGAGAAGAAGATGCTTAGACATGAAAATCACCGGCTTTAAATAGCTAAATATGACGCAAACAGGTACCACAATTGAAGGCTTATAGGCAATCAGACAGTGATTTTCATGTGTAGCAAGAAACAAGTGGCAAACAGAGTGGAGGAAGTTAGATGAAAGTCAAAAAACACCTGAAATAGGTGTTGAAGGTGACTATATTTCACTAAATCTACTTGGAGAGACACACTCTTAGACGACAGTGGAGGAGAACACAAAATAGTGTGAACAGGTAAATGGGTCATATAAAGTTTTCTCGTATATATAAAGAACAAGATGCTGTGGCCTGTTGTTTTGTCGCTGTCTCGTTTAACTGTATAGTATTGGTCTGACCTCTTTTCACAACTTGATCAGAGCGAAAGGGAGATCTTGCGAAGCGTATCTAGTCCTGCGTCCTGTGCCATATTATTCATGATGATTTCCAGCATCTGACTGTTGACTTGATACCTTTCCAGACCTTACACCGACATCGTAGTTGATTGAGAAGCCTCATCGTTACTACTGAGTTACAACCGATCAAAGTGACAAGAATAAATTTTGACTCTACGTTAACGATAGCGTCTCTAACTAATGATGCCGGCCAAACGTCAACGGTCAGATGCTAGAATTCATCATGAATACTATAGCAGGGGACGCAGGACTAGGTACTTTCCACAAGGTCTCCCTGCCTTTTAGACCAATTTGCAAAAGCGAGGTCAAACCAGAAATGAAAAAATAAAGCCGATTTACCTAGCCATTTTACCAATTCAGTCACACAGACAAAAAAAGAAATATTCCTTTTGTACTGACTTAACCTAAATGTGCTGGCTTTAATAATATCGGCACGAGTGGGTCATAGACTTTAGACTTGGAAAATGGTTGAATGTCGCGAACAGATGTAGTTCATGCATACTTCGCGTACCATCACTTGGCCTTAGTGCTTCCATTTTTAATAATGGTCTGAAGCCTTCTTACGATTCAAGCCCCTTAGTAGATTAAGGATCTTGATGCTACGAGTAGCTTGGTACCATAAACTCGAAATGTCGGGCCGCTCATGATCAACTCAAGGGGGAATCCCAATCCTTTATATTAGAAGCCCAGAAATCCCTACATCTTGGTCCGAAGCCTGGTTTAACCACATATGATCCCAAACATTCAAACAGTCGGCTGAGAGCTTGTTGCAGCAGCAAACGGACATGAAAGAGTCGTTAAAGTGCAGAGGCAGGCCAAAATCAGGAAACGCAAACAAATTTGGCAATTTCCTTGCCATTTTGTAAAAAAGATGGCATCTGGTAAATTCATTTGACATTCCATTTAGCTGCTTAACACATAGTATATGTTGCTTCTCTTAATCACAGAAATGGCGAATGACAAATGTAGAAGTGCATCATTGTGCAAGCAAACTATGTGACGTTTATTTGGCCTTCCGTAGTACTGGATGTTTTATGATTATATAATCTAGAATGCTACTACTAGTTTCGTGGCATTCGTTGTAGTTACTAGTCCACTACAAAATTATTACGTTTAGTCCATTATTTACCAAGGTTTTTTAATTAATTAATTTGTTTTATTGTATCTATTTTGTTTACAATTTTTATTAGAATTAATCCTATGCTTTTAAACTCTAATCCAGCTCATGAAT